GGGCACAAAGCACGTTTGACGCCCGTTCTCCTGTGAGTTCTCTGGTCTTCAGCTTGCAACCTGGTGGGCCCAGGGGTCAGGGTGCCCTTCTGGGACCCAGGCCACCAGATGACTGCGCGTGTGCCTGCACACCGGAGGACAGGAAGCCAAGCCAGTGCAGACGACGGGGCAGCAGTCACCAGGAGGAGGTGCGATATCTTCTTGTCACTGCAGAAAGACACAGGGACGGGCCACAGGAGTGGGGAAACTGGAAGAGGTGGAGAAATGTCTCTTCTACATCGAGCTCTGGAGGAACGCCAGAGTCTTCAGTCCGGCCCGAGCACAGCCACGTTTCAGTGGAACATCACAGCACAGACCTGAGCAGAGGGAGGGGCCCACCCCAGGCGAGCCTCAAGTGCCTCTCTGGCAAGGAGAGTGGATCTCGCTGCCAGGAGCCCCAGGGCTGGAACTCTCTGCCGGTGCCCCCCCCCCCCACCTCACTTACCCCTCGTCTTCACTGGACCCCGCCGCTGGGAAGGAAGTGCAGCGAGGGCCGCGCACTTCCAAAGAGCATCTCTGCGGCTCCACCAAGGCCGAGTGGGCTCGGAAACCAGAGGAAATGTCAAAACAGGTGCAGAAGGGGAAGTGAAGGTCTTCTGAGTGAGCAGCTGCTATTTCAAGCTCTATCGGTGGACAGAACGTGGGACTGAATTACTGTCCTTGTTTGAAATCCAGTTCCTGGCCTGCCCATAGGGCTCATCCAGACCATGGGCCCTGTGGGAGAGCCGGCTCACTGAAGGCCTGACTGTTGACGCCATGGACCTGAAGCCACTCTGCACGTAGAAATCACAGTGATGTCAGTGGAGTTCCTACCCAGAAAACAAAGTCTGTGCAATTTAACACGACACCCACACCTTTGGGAAACAGCCGGTGACTACCTGGGAACGTGGAGCTTCAACCCGCATTGCCCAAGTCAGTCTCAAATCCCGCCCTGTGGTCTCATGCAGTAGATGCCTGGGCAGTGTGGGCGGTGAGAGCGGCAGGGGGCGGCCGAGCGCAGCGTGGGCACCATGACCTACTGAGCCACCCTCCCAGTCAAGGCCGCTGTCTAAAGCAGCCCATGACTTTGAAACGAACGTGGTTCCCTGTGATGAACCCCCTGCATACACTGCTGTCCCCACCCAGGTCTCAGACCTTCAGTCCTGAGGTCTCAGCTGAGCTTCCACGGCGAGCGGTGCAGCAGCAGCAGCAGGACCGTCCGAAGTGACAGTTTCTCTGGTCCGACTGGGAGAAGAGACTTGGCGTTTGATTTTGCGTGGACCCGGGGCACGCTTACAGAAGGACAGAAAACGACCTTGTCATTCCTGCTAAGATGGAATTCCCAGACAGTCATAAATCTAAGTGACAAAACCAGCTGGCACACAAAGAGCACCTGCCACGCAAGACACTGTGACCCAGGGTTGGGGGACAGAGGCACAGAGCGGGTCTGTCTCTCAGATAAGAGCAGAGAAGGTGACCCAAGAATAGCAACACGGAAGGGTGAGAAATTAGAAAAAGTTTAGCTTCAAAATGACCGTTTTTCTTTGGAAACCTTAAAAGTAAGTAGATCACCCTGCTTGGTCCCAGCCATTGCGGCTTCGCCCTGTAGCCCAGGGACGTGGAGAACTCAGCCCTGGAGCTCCGCCCACGTGGAGGAGTCACGGGAAGGAACAGTCCTTATTTGAATGGCATTTTCCAGCTGCCTTTACCCACATGGCTGAACCCCAGGCTCACCACCACCCTGGAAGCGGAGAAGAGTTACCGCCATCCTTTTACGGATGAAGCCCGGAGTCTCAGAGAGGTCGGATGGTTTCTCAGAAGCTGTACTCTTTCTGAGTGGCAGAGCCTGGATTAGAACCCGGGTGTTCTAACTTTAAATTCAGTTAAATTCTAACTTTAAAGCACGCACAACTTGGCTCTGTCATCTGTTTTCACATGTCTGTCCTTAAACTATGAGTGACACACCAGACAGACCTGGGTTCATATTCCAGCTTTGCATGTATCGACTGTATGATCTTGGACAAGCTACTCAAGCTTTCTGATTTTTTTCCTCATTTATATAAAAGAAAATCAGCTACTGCGGTACAGGACTGGTGTGCAGTTGTTTTCAGTGAGTAAATAATGAAGATAACGGATTCTGTACGGTGCCCGACACAGACTCAGATTTCATAGATGTCCATTTCTTCTTCATCCTTAAGGGTGAAAACCGAACTTACCCACAAAATCCAGTGCAGTGTCTGGCACATAATATGCTCTCTGTAAATGTCTGTGGCCAGTGTGAGTGAACATGGAGTAAGTCATGAGAGTGTCAGTGAAACTGATGGGACAGGCTACAGGGAGAGTCGAGTCCCACAAGGTGACTGGCAGGGTTAGAATCTGAGAAGGGAGAAATGTATCCTAAAGCGTTAATAAATGCTGCAAAGTGTACGTCCCAAGATGTTCATTGCTGTGCTTTTGGTAATAGTGAAACTTTTGACATAAATTCAGTGCCCAGGAAAGGAGACTGGGTATGTTAACAAAGTGATTTCATATAATAAAATACTGTGTGCCTGTTCTTAAAATGCAGATTTAGAATTACTGCTCACTAAAAATAGAATATTCAACCCATAATTTTAGGTGAGATGGTGTGTTAGAAAAGTGCACTCTCGTAAAATTATCTATCTTTCAAAAGAAGGAAATGCCTGGAAGAATATTACAAAGCAGTGGTTATGTCTGAATGATAAAATTACATTAATTTTAGTTTTACGCATTATCCTTTTCAATACTTTTTGAATTTTTCTAAGTATCAAGTCTTACAATCAGGAAAAAATTGTTCTTTGGGGGACCAAAGCATCTAAAGGGTATAATATAGTAAGAAGTTGTTGTTTGACTTTGTTGTTACTGTTGCTGTAAATGTCAAAAGCTGCTTGAAACTCATTTGGACTCAAAGGCAAGTGTATCTGGAAGGCTCATGTGGCCGCAGGAAGGTCAAGGTATGGCTGCCCCTCGGTGATGACTGGACGTGGGCCTGGCCTGGCGAATCTCTGGGCTTTGGTAACTTCCTCCTACGGCACCCAGCTTCCTGCCTGGCAGGAAGCACCATGTGGATGAGTTCGGGGCCACTGATCTCCACCCCACAGAGAAACGGAGCCCTGTGACCCAGGCCATCATCTCCAAAGGCGCGCTGCAGGTGGCCCCGTTGGGTCGCATGTGTCCCTTACCAGTGCTGTGCTCAGGTGTTCTGGAACTGGCCCATGTGTGGCCCATTCCCGCCCAGAGGCCCATCCACGTGGCCACAAAGGCAGGTCCTGCAGGAAGAGCTGAGTGGGTTGAGGAATGATCGTCCCCTCCCCCCTGCACTCTTCTACTCTGAGGCGGTGTTTCCTCGGAGGTGAGGAAGAGGAGATCAGACGTTCTGAGTGTGCTGGCTCAGTTCAAGAGATGGAGGGGTGGCCTGGACTGATCGACAGTTGTCAGCATCAAAAGTGGTGCATGAGCCTCCCTGGCATGTCCCTGAGCTGCTGTGAAGACTCACCTGGGTCCCCAGAATGCTTACGGCTCAGCCCGAGGGCTGTGTGCTGGTCGGCCAGAGGCTGCAGGTCTCGTCCTTACCGCTCTTCCTGGGCGCCTCCCGACACTTGTATGCAAGCTAGGAGAAGCAGGTCTTCTGAAGAAGGCTGGGTCTTCTCGGGGTCTCGTGTCAACAAGCAGAGCTGCAGGAGACGGGTGGGGTTTGCACTGTGTGCTCCCTGCCTCCTTCACCGACTCGGGGGGTCATGTGATTTCTCTCCAGAACGTGGTGGCTGTGCCTAGAAAGTAAGCACTTTCTAGGGGGTCCTGGCCTACTCCTGTTTCTTCCCCTCTCATTTTTGTCTCCCAAGCTCATCCCTCAGTAAAGTTCATTTTGGTATTAAGTGTCTTCCACTGGGGCTCACAAGGAGAACTGTAGGGAGTTCAGGCAACCGGCCAGCACAGATGGCATAGGACTGAAGCCTTCCTCGCAAGCAGGGCTTTCAGTGCTGAAAGCAGGACAGTCCTAGGCAAGCCAGAATGGGTGGTCACCCAGGGGATGTCACCAGCGAGAAAGGAGCTGAGGGATAGGGGGCTGGAGAAGAAGGAAGGAGAGGGAGGGAGGACCTGGGAGGTCATGGCCATTCAACCCGACCCCTAAACTTTATGGCTTTTCTTTTCATTCGAATAACGGGGCCCCTGCACCTCAGCTCCCCAGTGGCGTGCACTCCCCATTTCTTCAGGTTCCTACTCTCCCACCTGCACACAGCCGCCCGTTTGTCACCTCCCTGTTCTGTTCACTACACGTGTTTTCCCAGTTCCCGCTCCTGCTCACCAGATTCAATGGCCGTATAAGGGAATTCTTTGAAGCCCCCTCTGTTCCAACACAGAGCAATGATAGATAACATATAAAAGAGAATTTTAAAAGTCAGCCACACTCCAAAGGGAGATACACATGTCCATTGTCTTAGAATAGGATCAAAACATGAAGCAGACAGTTGAGACTGGTCTGAGGACCCACCAGGCTCTGGGTCTGGAAGCAGGGTGTCAGATAAAAGTCCACCGTGGGGGAAAGTGCCCCTGGGGAGGCACACAAGCCAGCGTCATGCCCACACCCAGAGGCCAGGCCAGGGCTTCCCTGGGTCAGGACAAGACGCTGGAAAGCCTGCTAGTCATGGGCTGCTGCCTGGGGTATGGCTTAGTGCCTCGAGAACCAGGCTCAGACAGACAGGGAATGCACAGAGAGGGGACAAGGGTACATACGTGTATGACAATCCTGCAAACCCAGCGCTGAGATACGTGAGGGAACCTTATACCAAGAGAGCCAATAAAGTTAATAATTAGAATGAGTTTTTCCAGGAATAAAAATAAAACAGTAACAAATCTGAAACAAAGTTGGAAATAGGTATATTTAGAATCCTTGAAGAGATAAATGAAGGCATTGCAGCCTTAAAAAAAGATACAGGCTACCAATCTATTATGCCACTAAAACAGAGAAATGAAAAAAGCACAGGTAGGTATGAAATGAGAAATTATAAAGAAAAGTTGGACCATGGAAATTTTAAAAAACACTCAATAGGATAGATTCTAAACGTAGTTGAAGGGAGAACTAACAAATTGGAGTGGGAGGGGTTCAAGGTCACAGCTTTAAAGGAGTCAGACGAACAAGACGGCAAAGGACATAGCTGTGGCTGTGGTTGGGAGTTCAGGAAAGGCTTGTCAGGGGAGACGTTTGAGCCATGGCCTGGTTGCGTAAGGATGTGAGTGATGTGAGTATAAGTAAAAAGAAGTCAAATAAATTCATGGATGCACAGTAGCAATAATACCAGTTTTGCAGGTTGCTGCGATTAGATTAAGCTGAATACATAAAAGTACCAACCGAGTGCCTGGCACATACTCGATGACAAATGTGAAGACCCCCTGCCTCCCAGTCCTGAGAACCCGAGTTAACAGAGCAGAACTCAGCGGTCCACTCACAGGTGGAGGGGGCGTTGGCTGCCCCAACCTGCTGGTGCCCACCGTTATTCCAGGGGACCTCGGATCAGCTGATGGTGTTAAAATCTGGTGGCGGTGGATTCAGCTCCTGGTGACGAAGTGGCTGGAACACTGTCAGCTCCTCGTGTGCCTGCTTTCTCCTGCTGCTGCTCTCTCTTGAGAACAAACTCTGTTTTCCCCTCTAGCATTAACTAAGCAAGCTAGTCACATCCAAAATACAGAGATGACATTTTAGTGCATCCAGACAGCCTGGCGAGTAGTTTCCTTGCAAATCCCAAAATTTTGTGAGTGCAACTTGAAGCATTTCTCCCCGTTATGTCTGTCTGGAGCCTCGAAAGAACCCCCAACAGAGGTCACAGAAGGGGAAGAGACAAAGCCACCCTCTTTCCGAGCATGGAGCCTTTTCAACTCACAGGCCCCCGATGGAAACATTTCCTCATGAAAGGAACACAATAAGCCTGGCTCGCAGTGAACAGCAACAGAATGTTCCATCGGACAGAAAGCATCTTCTTGGGACGTGGGAATCCGAGAGACTGGATTGCATTTTTAAAAAATGCTCCCAGAGTGGCAGAGAACTAGTCTCAGGGGCTCAGCAGCATTTGGGAATCCGTGTTTTTCAGGAAGGGGGCCGTCCCCGCCAAGACTGGCGGGTGGGGCTGGGTGTCCTAGAAACTGAGTTGGGCTGGAATGTGAGACTGGTCCCTGAGCAAAGCAGATAAGGGAGGGCACGATGGGGGGGCGGGGAGCAGCTGGAGGTGCAGAGTGGGCGTGTTTTCCGAACCAGAAGAGGGAAAATACGCCCCACCCTCTCTGGGTGAGCCAGGAAAAGGTTGTTTTAAGAAGGCAAGAAGACAGAGGGAGAAGAAGTATCCTTTTTGGCTGCGGTGAGAACTGGCCTTTGCACTTGGCTCCCCTGGGCAAAGTGGGCTAATGGACACTGGGCAGTGGTCCAGGGGGTCCCCCCCAAACCTCAGTCCTGCCCTCGCCAACTCGATCACCCCCCACTAGGAAGTCTATAAAAAATAAGCCTTCCCCTTGTTTACTTTGAGAGTTTTTTTTCCCAAACACTGTACATCTCACCAAGTATGAATTATTTAAAAGAACTCAAAGTGCTGAGCATTTCACCTTTGGCTCAGTTCCAGGTACCGTTCAAGCTTGGAATAGGAGAAAATGGCAAACTGTAGGGAAAAACAGGAAGGCTTTGATGTCTCCCACTCCCGGGGGTGCACATATCCATCCCCTGGAGTCTTCTTCTGAAGTCGAAGGAGAAAGCCCTGACGTTCACATCACACTGAGAACAAAGCAAACGTAGAAAACACATGACTGGGGTGAGGTTAGGGAGCGGATCCTCGCACACCAGCAAAACGAGAGAGTGTGATGTGTGCATTTGCACAACCACGCCCACCTCAGCATCAGTCTGGAGGTCTGCTGGATGCAGGACGTAGGCACAGACGTTTTGTTTTCCGGGCATCGTCTTTCTCACACATGCGCAGCTTGAAGCACATCTGCAGTGAGATTTTGGTCCCTGTGGTCGGCAGGTAGGAGAGGCATTAAATGGAGGAAACTTCAACTTGAGAGCAAGTCATTGTCCACTTACGGACACTTCCTAGGCAGGACCCCTGCCCTGCAGGAGGTGCCTCCTGTCTGTTGGTTAAATAGATGCAGGGCACCCGGACAGCAAGTGGAAGTGGACCGTGGATATGTTGGAGTAACGATGAAATGAGTTCCAGTGTCACAATGAAATCCTGCCTTACCCTCGTTCCTCATTTTAAGTAGAACCACTGCGTTGATGGGTGTTCTTTGCTTATACTTCGATACGCGTGGTTATTTTAAAGAGTTACCTAGTTTTTAAAGTTAACCACCTCCCCTCGGCTGCCCCGCCAAAGCCCACGCCCCCATGACGGCCAGGAGAGTGCTCCAAGGACCCGCCTGAGCGGAGGGCCTCGCGGGCCACATGCTCACGTGAACTCTCTTCTGTGTCTCCGTCCTCATTCAAAAAGGTTCTCCGTGGCAGGTCTGGGGCTCAGGCCCTCATGTCTGTGATTCCCAGACAGGGAGGGGCCTGGAAAACAGAAGCCCAGGATGGAAACCTCCTGTTCAAGATTGTAGAGCTAAATAGCCATCCAGCCAAACTAGAAACTGGAATTCACGGGTCCCAAGTGGTCTTTGTGAGAAACACTTTTTGCAAAGGAAACTGGAACACAGTGAGCAGCTACGTGTGCTGATTCGTTCTGTGTGGGGCAGGTTGAGCGCAATTGTATAGGATGCACGTGAGAAAAACAGCGTAGAACAGAAGGAAGCCATCTGATGTATCCAGTCCAAGGAGGAATGTTCATTAAAATAGCGGTGTGATACCAGATAGAGAAATTGCTCCACGGTGCCTCTCTCTCCTCGGCTGTGACAAAGAAATCACCATCGGTTGCCCCCTCCCTTGTCTCCTGACGGAATCGACAGTGAGCGGAGCAGCCCCTCCCTTGTTATGACTCAGCTACAGTGTTTCTGTTTTTACCAGAGCAGATTAGCTGTGACCGCACTAGCATCTCTGGGAGTGGTCTACACTGTATGACCTCTTCCAGTTAATGAGAAAGGGTTCTCTCTGTTCATTGCATGCTTGTGCAAAGCTTATTATTATTGACCAGTATCACTGTGCTCATTATGTAAGTGCAGTTGGCTCTTTCTATTATGAGAGCTCTTGGAAATACAGCCCAGAAGAAAGAATGAAATGGGGCAGACTTGTGATGAGGGACATTATTAAAATCCTTTCCCAGGTATTAAAATTGTATGTGACGCCTAGGAGTTTTTGTCTTTGTGTTAGAGGCATGTATCCCCTCCTGGGCCAGGTTGACTCTTCAGTTCAAGGGGGTAAAGGTTCAAATGCCTGCAGGGCCCAGGAAGATCAGGTCCACGAGGAAAACGGGTGGGATGACCTGACCCATCTGAAGGAGGCCACCACCTTTGAGTCCTGATCCCGGGGGCCAGTGAGACCCAAAGTGGCCAGAGAAGCCAGGAAACTCTAGACTTGAGTGAAGTATTCTGATTTTTTCAGTGGCTCTATCTGAAAAAAATTAAATATTGGGCTGACCAAATAAAATGTATTGGAGGTCAGGATCCAGTTGGCTTCCATTTCGTGACCCCTGCTCCATCCCAGACAAAGGTCATTTCGGTAAAAGGGTCTAAAACCAGCTGGAGCATCCACCAGGTGGAATGTCCAGCAGGAGGAAGTACGTGACCATGCCTGCAAGCCAACCTCTTCGGAGGCTAAGAAGATTTCTGTGAATTTATCTGGAACCTCAGGGAGCAGCTGTCCTCGTGGTTTCAACAAGCACTGTCCCCGAAATCCTAAGAGCCCAGCACTGAGGACACACCCTCCCTCGTTCTCTGTCCTCACCGGACACAGACACGCAGGCCCACGGGGCGCCACACCACAACCACCTGGCTCCGCCCTCCCCCTGAGGGCCCCCAGGGAGCCAGTTCACAGAGCGTGGAAGGCACACAACCTGTCCCATCCTCCTCCTTTCTCCGAGTGGGAGGGCACTTGAAATGAGGAGGAAAGTCGCCCAGAGGAAGGACACCCATGCCCTGGGGCCGGTGCCTGTTGTGATTGGGAGCCAGGGGGCCTCCTGGGCAGACAGCTGTTTCAGTGTCAAGGTCTAGTATAAAGTATCATCGCTGTCCGTTTGATGCTGATACCTGCATTTGAGGCCTCAGTTCCTGATTGGCTGCCTGGCTCTGCCCTTTTGATGCCTCAGCAGCTGTCCTGCCTCCCAGACTCCCAGGTCCTCCTGCCACCCTGTCTGGGTTTGACCCTCACACCACTGCTGGCACCCAGGACCTGCAGTGGGGTTCAGCTGGGAGGGGGAGCCAATGGCAGGCAGACTGGCTTCAAGATCAGCGCTCCAGACTGGCCTGTCCTCTTCCTGGCCAGCTGGAAATGAGAATATCCTACCAGGAAAGAGTGCTGCCCCATTTAGAGGGGGTTTAAACGAGGCCACACCAGGCAAGTTTTTGTAATGCCAAGTTGCAGGCGGGAATGGTAAATTGGTGAGAGGCCCTGTCTGGGAACTCGGGGCCTGGCTTCTGGTTGGTTCGAGTCTGTGGGAAGCCCAGGTGCTCACCAGCTCACTGAGAATGCCGAGGCTGGACTGGATGAAGTATCAGTGACCCAAGGTGATGAGACAAATTAACTCAAACCTGAGCTGCAGGAAACACAAACTTTCATATCTCATGGATTCTGGGGGCCAGGAACCCAGGCTTCTGCACAGCCAAGTCCTCTGACTCAGATCTCTGAGGGGGTTATCGCAGGGGTCAGCATGGGGAGGACCTGCTCGGCAGCTCACTCGGGTGGTCGTCCACGGATTAACAGTCTCCGTTGCAGTAAGAGCCTCAGTTCCTCCCTGGCTGTTGGCTGGACACCTGCCTCCCATGGGAGAGGCAGGGCGGGGTCTCTGCATGGAGCAGCTCACGACCCACTGGCTGTCTTGGGCATGCGCAAGAGAGGGCACGTAAGTGCTGGCTAGGGGACTCAGTGGCCTGGAGCATCATCACCTGCACCAAAAGGTGGCAGGCTCGGTTCCCACTCAGGGCACGTACCTAGGCTGTGGGTTTGAGCCCCGGTTGAGGTGCATACAGAAGGGGACGAGGGATCAGTGTTTCTGCTTCTCGCTCCCTTCCTCTCTAAAATCAGTAAACACATCCAATGGTGAGGACTGAAAAAAGAGAGAGAGCGGCCAAGTAAGGCAGGAGTCGGTCTTCGTGACATCTGTCACTTGTGCTGTATTCTGGCCCTTCGAACTGACTCGCTAAATCCAGCCCACACCCGAGGGAGGAGAGAACACGAGGGAGAGAATACCGGGAGGCAGGGCTCTCGGGGGGCTGTCGGAGAGACTCCCCTGTCTCCCCCAGACGAGGCGGCCGTACACTGTGTTCCCAGCGCCCCCGCCAGGCCTCTCAGCCCAGTGCCTGCAGGGCCCCCTCCGTGTCTTCACCTGGAGCTGACCGACCAGAGCGAGGTCAAACAGGAACATCATCTTACCCAAAAGAGTTAGACCGTGAGAAGGAAACATTATGGATTGCTTTTTCTCTCCTTCTGGGGCATCTACCATCAGAGGACTGTGCTGAGAGACGAAATGCCTTTTCAGGGCAGACAGGGAAGGTACGTGTCTGTGTAGCTCAAGGAGAAAGCAAAGGCATGGAGACCAGCCCAGCCAGAGAAGGCTGATGCGGGTGCTGGGAGCTGCGTGGCTTGAAGGCTGCCCCGGGGCTCCCTGCACAAAGCAGCCTGAGTCCTGGATCCTCCCCAGAGCCTCTGTGAAGTGTTCCCACTGCCTCCGGAATGGTGTGATTTTTCTCAGGCAACAGTGGGAAATTGTGTCAGCGGGAAAGTGTGTAACCCACCCCACCATCCTTTTGACATTGTTTCTGTGAGTGCTGACTCTGACTGATACGTGGCTTGTAGACAAACAGCATGTTTGAATGAGAATCCTGGGAACTAACTTCAAAAGATGCAGGCCCTGACCTTCTGGCCTCCCAGCTCTGGGAGATTTGCTGACCTTTGAGCGTAGAGCCAGGGTGACGAAAAGCCAGGATGACACACAGCGGACCTTCACTTGCCTTGTCAGAACGGACTGTTGGAGAACTTGCAGCTCCTCCTTTGATCTCTTTGTGCCCTTCCCTTCTCCCCACTTACAAAAACCTCTGTCTCCACTGAGAGGCGGAGGTGGGCTTTGAGACGTGAGTCCCCCCTCTTCCAGATGGCCAGCACCTGAAAACAAACCACGTTTCTCTCCTTCGGCACCCGCCTCTCGAGTATCGGCTTTGGCAGTGGCAGGCAGCCGGACCTGCGTCCGGTCACAAGCAGTCGGAAGCCCGTGTGCGTTGTCCCCTGGCCTGGCTCAGGTCTGGAGAACAGGCCGGTCTCCAAGCCCGAGGCTGGTTGGGTTGGCTCGAATCAGAGTGACGCTCCCCTTGCAGGAAGTGGAAACCCATGTTGCTGTCTTTTCCTCTCACGCAGCACTTTGTGGAGCTGCCATGGATTAAAAAAAAAAAATCTTTTGTCTAAATCAGTCCGTTACTAATAGTCCTCCTTACAGTCGTGGTCACCATGACCCCTCACTTTGTGATGGCAGAGCGCTCTTCTGTGCGGGGGGACATGGTGTCGATGTGCCGTACGTGTTAACCAGTTGGGAGTCGACAGCCACGCGGGGCCTCAGCAGCCTCTTCCCTCGTGTTCCTGCTCACAGTCCTCACTTGGAGGATTCGTGAGCAATCCCCTTTGAATCCATGAAACTGATCCCTTTCGATTTTCTTTTCATCAGAGTTAAGAATGCAAGACTTACAGATACTTCAGTTTCTAGTCACCCAAACCTTTTCTCGTGGGTGCTCATTCATTCCCTCAAAGCCGATGAAAGGACGGAGGCTTTCGCCGTGGGCAGCGGGTCACGAAGAACACACGCAGACCGCCACTGGTCGAGCGCCGTGAGTCCCTGACCCACCAGCTGCTCCCACTCGGACTTCTGGCAAGTCACCTCGCCCGGCAGAGACCCTGCTGAGTTGTCGTCTGTGAAGTGGGACCACTGACAGCCGCCTCACAGAACTGTCACAAGCACTGAACCACGTAGATACATCTATGTAGTGTTTTACATGTGTGTGGAACTAGCTTGTGTGGGCTTTCATGTTTACGGAGAAACACGAGAGACCGTCCCTGTCTCCAACAGATCCACCAGTAGGAGCAAGACGGGGGTGGAGCCTCCAAGTCTAGACCTTCAACCTTCACTGTAGTTCAGTCACACGCTCCCTTAGCAAGTCGTCACTGAAATCCCCCTGCTTCGCCACTTTAAGAAGCTTGTAAACAGCCTGAAATGCCACAAGGAAGCCGTCACCTGTGCCCTCGAAGGCGGGTGTGCTCTCAGTTTGCCACAGTAGAGGAGCATCGTGGTGATGCGTGCAGAAACACGGACATGCCCCCTTTTCTGAACTTACGTTGGGTTTTATGTGTTAGCATAAACAAACAGCTCCCTTAGATAAATCACAAAGCCAGCTGCCAACTTGGAAATTTCCTCTTCTTTACCTAGAAAGCAGCCCGAGATGGACTCAAGCCCGAGGGAAGTAGCTTTGCAGTGCAAGCAGGCCCTGGGCGTGTGCTACACCCTGAAGCTGGCCATAAAACTGGGGGGTGGGGAGGTGGGAGGGGGCTGAAGAGAAGCCGAGAGAAGCCACCAAAATCCCAAGTTGGGGCTGGAGGAGGAGTGGGAGTCAGGTGAGACCCCTGGTTCCAAGGCCTGGGGCCTGGGTTTGGGGTGCCGGGCCCATCTCATCAGACACGACAGGGAGACACAGAGCGCCTGGGCCCAGTGGTATCCCAGCCGCCGGGTGAGAACTGTAAAGGCCCTTGCCAGCTATGAAAGTAAAGTACATGGGCTGAATGCTGAACAGTCAACCAAACTGGGGAAAAACCAAGATGGAAGTTTCTTTCCAAAGGCATCAGACGGCGGCATCAGTGCCACCTCCTCCTGCTGTCTCTGCCCAGAGTCCTCACCCCTAGGGTCCCCCCACCCTGCCCGCAGTCCCTGGTCTTCATCCCAGCTGTGGGCATCCCTCCTCATGGGGGGAGTCGCTGCTCCTTACCCTCCTAGCTGTGGAAGCCCCCTCCACCGTAAGTTCACCCCAGGATGCCCACGGAAGCACAAGATCATGAGTATTCCAGGCAGAGGAATTGTCTCAGCGCAGATGCAGCTGGGCCTGGGGTAACGCACATCTGGGCACCCTGGTCGGGAAGTCCTTTCGGTCCTCGGTGCTGCTCCAGCCAAATTCCACCTGTCTCCTCCCTTTCATGGCCCCACCGGGTGTCCTTAAGCCCATGGTAGTTATGGAGATGGCTGGGGATTTCTCTGGACAGAGAATGGGGACCCCTTGTGCCAATCAAGGACATTCACCCAATGGACCCATCGAGATGCCTTCTTTAATCTTGCGGACTATCTGGGATTATGCTGGTGTCCGTAGAAAAAGCATCCCCGTAGAAAGTCCTCCCGCATTTACAGTGACCCTGTAGCTTGTCGCCGACTTGTTCTCCAGTTGGCAGCATGTGTGACACCTGGCCACCTTTGATTTTCTCAGTCCTCCTCCTCCACCGTGTGAGGGCCTGCAGACAAGAGCTCAAGGAGGGGAGAGTCTGACATGAGGAAGCCCCAGTGAAATATTTCATCATTTACTCTCCTCCCCCTTCCAGCCTCCTCCCTGGCCATTTGTCTGTCTTGAAATTTGGTGTATATATAAATGCTTGTTAAATAAAAATATGCCCTGGAAAGATCCCTCCTTCCACATCCTGGCCCTCCCCCACACCCCTCTGGTTGGCAGCGGGGCCCTGATCGGGGGCGGCCAGGTTGAACCACCCAGAGTCGAAAGCACCAGCAGGAAGTGTTCACACCGGACTCCGCTGCGCACTGCCCCACCCAACACCAAGTTTCCAGTTTCGGACCTATTCTGACCCCTGCCCCCGCCCCCCATCCCGTGTGAACCGCCTCCCCAGCTGTTTTTCGGGATGTTGTTTCTACAGTGAACTTTCTTGAAAAACCACCCCCTCACGAGGCTCCTTCCGAGTGATCCCCTCCCCATTGTTTTTCGTCCACCTGGCACCAGAAGACCTTTTCCATCCCCTTAGAGCTCAAGGACGTGACACGCAGCTCCTCCTAGGGAGTTCTTCGAAGAACCAGATTTGTGCTTGATCCCCGACCTTCTCACACACACACACACACCCCACAGCAGGCAGGAAGGCCCAGTGCGCACTCGCTCGGCTGGGTGCGCTCGGGCACGGCCACCCACCTAGCGCAGCTGCTTGCTAAGTTTAGAACTCCGAGAAGCCACCTGGCTGCAAGGCGCTTGGGCGATGCTCCTCGAAGCCTGTCTCAGGAGGTGGTCTGGGGTGGGGCCCACTCCTAGCTTTTAACACCTGTAGCACCTCTGTAAGCTAGAAAAGTGGCTCTGGGGGGAGGGTACTCTCAATAAATGATCAGAACAAAACAGCAGCCCTCCATCAAACGGCGTCTGTTTCCACCTGCTCTGGCCCCAAGCCCTAGACTGCTCTGCACAGCTGGCCTTTCCCGCCCGGACAGCCAGATACCACCTCACTCCCACCGGTCCAAGCGGAGTTCACCCGTTGCCTCCAAACCCTGCCCTCCTGTCTGCCCATCCCAGGCATCTGCAGTCACTAGTCTACCTCCTCAGTAGGTGTTCATCAACTTCTGTTGTTCCCACGACCTCCGTCCGACTCAGGTGCTCCTCCGCCCTCCCCTGCACAGGCCGCGGCGCGAGCGCCCACAGCCTCCCTGCCTCCCTCCTCCTGCACTTGAAGTCCAGCTGCCAGGACAACTTTGCTTAAGTACTGACTCAACTTAGAGTAAAAAAGCATTTATCTTATTGAAAGAAATGTAAAACGCCGTAATAGGGAAAATAAAGGGGGACCAAGATGGCAGACTCTAACTTGCTTCTGGTTAAGAAGAGAAGACAGTAAAGATACTGTCTCTCAACTCGGTATGTGAAAGTGATGCAATTAAAGTTCCTCTGAGGTACTGGCTTTTACAACTTGTAGAATAATGTAAAATTAGTCCAAAAGAAAGAGCAGTCGAGAGTAACAAAATATTTTTTTAAGTTTATTGATGCATCACGGTTTTGAAACATAACTAAATCTTTATGAAAATTGTATGGTACTGACATCAAAGCAGGGAGAGAGGGCAACCACTAATCGAATAAAATGGACATTCTAGAAATAGAGTCAGCAGCTTTAGGGACAAAGTATTTGGAGGCAGGAAGGGAAGATGAGCAGAGAGATGTGATTTAAGCAAAAACTGCAGGAAAACAGGAATGATTATTACACACACATATCTGTCAAACTTAGAGTGACTTACTGAGAAAGTATCTGATGTTTTGCCTTTCTACGTGGTTTATGGTTTTGTGGAGCCTTTTTTTCCCCCCTGTTGTGGACTCACCAGCAAAGATCGAAGGGAATTTCCCCCTTACCCCACTCAGAAGAGGCAGCCACACAACCTGTGTTCCTAGTTGCCAAGGAAACCAGCCTTGTTTTGGGAGCACTGGTTCCCAGGCAGGCGGAGATGGGGTTGGGAGGAGTGAGGACAGAGGTGTCTAGAGCTGGGGAGAGGCTTGATGCCAGGCAGAGAGTGGTTGGTTCTCCGGTTTGAGGGTCCCCTAGGAGAGGGGAGCACACAGCACCCAAGAGGTGATGGGACCTGGAGTGGGGTGTGGGTGCAAGGATGTTGTCAAGGCCAGAGACACTGAGCTCCTCATTCTGGGGGCAGCTACCACGCTGTCTGGCCTGGTGGGGAGAAGGTGCAGCTGCTGAACCTACCAGCCGCCCAATGGCCAAAGTAGGCTTGGGCAAGCAGCGTCTCCATGTGGTAACCAGCTGGATTAATGCCGGAGGCCTCTCCCCCCACCTCCCAAGAGCCCCGAGGGCGGGACACAACCCAGGGAGTGGGAGGGAAAGCAGGACCCCTCCCTGAATAATTACTGCTGCGCCCCAGAGACATCCTGAGCCGGAAAAAGAAAGTGACATTCTCTGCACCTCAAGTGCAGTACAACGGCATATTCCCGTTCCACACCTTGCACATTTTGATAAACCCGGGAGCTTCAAAGGATTGTTAAACAACAACCACACACCATTCTGGAAACTAGAAAACAAGCTAGTATACTATCCCAGGGGCAGACAACAGATACATTTCTGGGATCTGGGTATCAAAACAACAATAAAAAACAGAGACAGTTAAGGGGTCATGGAAAGGTATGCAGCCTGACTGGCATTTAGAGACACGCAGTCACATGTTGTCCCCAGATTGCCCTTAAATGGTCCGGATCTCTTCTAGTGCAGGATCGACTATAATTAGCCATACTCGGCTATTAGCAACACGTTTCAACGACGGGCGTGAAGCCCAGCAGCGTCATATGCGTGTTGCACTGTGTGTGACGTAAAAACTCATGCGGAGCCCAAGTTAGCAGGGGACGTGTTCCGTGTATAGGCAGTGTCTTGCCAGCGTTTTCCTTCTGAAGCGATGCTGGTCGGGGCTGGCGGTTCTGACTCGCAGAACAGCCTTGGTGCGCCCACACCACAGGGTGGGAAGCCGCCCTAAACCCGGGGCTGTGAGATGGAGCAGAGCTCGCAGTTCCAGTGGGGCCTGACCCGGAACCTCCTCTGTCATTAATCCATTTGGCCAGGGGTCAAGGCTAAATGGGACCCCTCTGACCCCACAG